TGGGACCGTATGACATTGAATCTATCCAACGTTACACTAGACATTTGTGAGGACATGCATGTAATGCATCGTGATAGAACAGATTTCAGTTTAATTAATCGCCCTAAATTAAAATCTCCACAAGCGGAGGTCAATTATAGTGTTCTAGTCTACATATTATCATTAATGATAAGGTTAATTCAAAGAGCGTATTAAACTGGATAAACACGGGAATAGAACTTATGGTGTGTTCTGCACATGCCTATATATATCTAGGATAAAATCCCACAAGCGCAAACGAAACTATTTCTCTATAAAGTTGAGCTGAAAGGACTCACAGTGACCGTTTTGGCAGTGGTTCAGGCGCCCGATGATATTGTATGAGGGGCCTTTAGCATTGTCAACTTCTCATCTTGAGATGTTCACGTTATCGCGTGTACTTGTCAGGATGACGAAGGATTGCGAATAAAGTCTGTGTGCACTGATACACGCTGCATTATTTTTAATAATGCTGTGTGCACGCTGCATTATTTTTAATAATGCTGTGTTCACGCTGCATTATTAAAAATAATGCTGTGTGCTATTTTAGCCCGTATAAACATTTACCCCTAGGAATTTCCCTACAATCAAAAAAGACCGCTCCCGTTTTTCAGAAGAACGCTAAAACTTCTCGACATTCGCTGATATAATGCAGAGAGAAAACAATAGGTTATTATGACCGTCAGTAATTATATTTGTTTAGTCAGGTATGATGTACCTTTTATTTTTCTGAATTTATGCTTGGGACCTTATAAAGCAACGATGGAGAACTTGCTTGATAAATGTTTATTATGCTAATGCATATGTAAATTGTAACCCCCCCCCCCAACCTTGGGGAAAGGTGGGGATATGTGGGGTGCTTTCACTCTTAGTTACGCCTGACTAGGCGGGGATTTTCCTCTTATGTATCTCCACTGTGTATCTCCGACCCTGGTATGTGCGGCATTATGTGGGAATGTATACAGCCCGCTTGAGCCTGATCTTTTGAAAGTCAATTTTATCTGGATCATGCAGGTAATTTTTTGTTTGCATTGTTTCACTTTATAGTGATAAAATAGTTTTACATGTTCAATTGTAAATTCATTTTCTCACAGAATAACTGCCTGACGCACATACTATTTATGAGGCAGTCCGTGTAAAAACCGACCTCTCGAATTTCTTACGATTACAGATTTCCTTCAAACTTTCTGTGTGGAAGAAGTCATTCATAAAATGAACAAAAAACGTTGACTTTGAAATTGTAGTCAGTTTTAAATTTTTTTCGCAATTATTTTCGGACGCGTTCGAAAACAAGTTAAAACGTTAATTACGCAAGTGATATTTGAGCTTTTTTATATCTCACAGTTCATCTCGCGCTTTTATTCTAACTTCTTGAAACTTACATATTTTATTATTTCCTGCCTAGGCATAAACCTAAACTAAAATTATGCTGGTCACTTGAAGCAAACAAAATATTGTGTATTTTTAAAAACGTCTTTCAGACAGCGGATTAAATATTCGTGTTAGTATGCTGGCGGTAAATTATTTTTTCTCAAAAGTGCAACGGTATCAGGTATCCAATCTATTGCAGCTACTGAGTATTATGACACATCTACTAGAATAAATAATAAAATCTTTGGGCAGTGTGTTTTTCACTTGACAAGCGCGTCATGAATATAGTTAATTTTCGCTAATTCGACTAATTATAAGCTATAATTTGTTAATGCATTTACTTAAATTTTTCGCGTTAAAAACATACAAAATTGTTCACTATCTTTCAAATATGGCTGTTTTTGGATAGAGACTAAGTTATAAATATGCCAGCATTTATGCTAGCTTTATAACATAGAGCAAAGTCTTGACGCATGTGCCGACTGAAATTGACATGCACGCGTTGCTAATTTTATCCGCCGGTATTATCTTTTTATTATTTATCAGTGTATGAAAGCACTGTAAACATACTGATCTTGGTAACTAAAACTATATGCACCGATTTCCTCCGAATGTACACATCTATCAGTAGAGAATATTAGAAGAAAGTATATTATACAATTTATTAGAGAGTAATGTTTTTCGCGCGAAAAGCGGTTCATATATAATCCCCGTCATCGCTTGAAGTTGGTCAACGTGTAATTTCAAGTTTTTGTTTGCCTTCTTAACAGTATATTTATATCGTAAAATCATTACAATCTTAACTCGTTGAAGTCGGGGGGTGGGGGGTGGGGGGTAAAATCCCCAAAAAGAAAAGTCAAGAAAGGGGCCCAAATATTTTCGGGCAATATAGACCACAGCTCCTCCAATAGATATATGAATCCCGTACGCCTATGAGTATACTACTATACATTTGTATTGCTCTCATGTGCATAGAGAGACAAGGTACGAAATTAGAATCTATAAACAATCAACTTTAAAGGTGATCTACAGTCCGATCTGCGTATGTGCACAAATGAGCCCACTTTTTATGATACAAACAGTTTAACTATGTTTTGAGTTCTTGAAAAGCCTGATTGTCGTTTCTTGATAATTTATTATACTCTAGAAGCTTAAAAATATAAATAGTTGTCGAATAAAGCTCAATATTTTGGACACAAAAATGTAAACAAAGCCTTTGTTTACATACGGACTGTAGATCACCTTTAATACATGCATGGTTGGGTATACAAAAACGTTTTGCCGTAAAAAACGAATTTCTTTCTTGTTGCTTTGAGCTATTAGGCTATATTAAAACCGACGAAACATGTAGGCTAGTAAGCGTATATATTAAGTGAAAGTGAAACTTATTCTCAAACAAATAAATGAACCAAGACTGCATGTCGTAATCTCTCTGAAAGGGCGAAGCAGTAACTAAAGGGTGTATATATAGAGGCATCTAACGGCAAGTGATTTAACGATCACACGGAGGGGTTATTAGAGACCTTACGATTTTAGGACGGCAACGCGACGACGACAGCCAAAACAAACTCCCTCAAATAAATGGTAGTATTAAAGCCCACTAATTGTTGTATATTAGTTTCTCATCCGGAGCTTCACCTAAAGTGGATGCGGGCTGGCGGGCCAATACCATTATGCCATTATTTGCTGGATTTCCCCTCCCCATAAAATTTATTTTGGAAAAGTGCGCATTAAGCATTTATATAGCAACTTTCTGGAAAACAGCACAAAATCAGTAAGTGCAACTGAAAGCATGTTTTCATAATTTTGTACCCAGAACGTCTGGCGTTTTTCTCCCCTGCCCCTGGCTTCCGGTAGAACTTTTATAGCTGAGTTTGGATATTTAATAAGTGTGTACGTAATGCGGGAAAAACTTGCAGTTTGGTTATGAAATTTTGTATTTTAACTATAACATTTGGTTTGGGAACGTTTCTAATTGTCTTTCTTTCAAATTTCACTTTGAAGACATCACAAAATTTATAATAATGGTCAAAAATGGCAATCATATTGGCGAACAAGGCCATTTTCTTAAAAAAGCATGCGGGCGGGGATGAGAAAATAATATACAGCAAATAGTGGCCTAAAGAGAATTTGTGGTATATTAGCAATCGTATGAATTTAATACAATCGTATGAATTTAATGGGTTTTATGTTTGGGTAGAGTTCTGCTGAAGCCAGTTTGAAGTTGCACTTGTTGCGGCTTGAAATGCAGCCGTTGTATCAAGACGTGAAAATCTGTGATTTGGCGTTGTAAACAAAGCGAGGACAATGTCTAAATTATTCATATATTGCAATTATTGAATTCTTTTTAATTATTTATTGTATTGCAGCCGTTGCTGTCCTAAATCGTAAGGTGTCTATTTAAAAATCGGGGAACCATGCAAGGTAAGCATGGTTAAAAATTTTTCGAGTATGCGGACGTATATATGCATGCACACGCATGGTTTACGCTACTCATACGTTTCTCTCATACGCAATAGTGTGACAGGACCTTAACCGAGATCAGCATGTAATTGCAGTTCTTAAAAAACATGGAAATATTAAACATGTATAAAATATTTGTTTCATATTATAGTGGCAAAATAAATCTGCACTATATCTATGATGAGAAAAAAAGTGCTCCTTCAAGGCATTCGTATAAATTGGCACACATATATCCTTTCCCGCACTTTTCTTATACATTTTTGTTTATATATACCATGCATGTAGTATTTAATGATACCCATACACATTTCAAGCATATATAATTGCTGGCATATTTTATAACTTACTCTCTATCCAAAAAAGATCCATATTTGAAACAGTAAACAGTTTTGTATGTTTTAACGCGAAAAATTTAAGTGAATGCATTAACAAATTATAGCTTATAATTAGTCGAATTAGCGAAAATTGACTATATTCATGACGCGCTTGTCAAGCGAAAAACACACTGCCCAAAGATTTTATTATTTATTCTAGTAGATGTGTCATAATACTCAGTAGCTGCAATAGATTGGATACCTGATACCGTTGCACTTTTGAGAAAAAATAATTTACCGCCAGCATACTAACACGAATATTTAATAAGCTGTCCGAAAGACGTTTTTTAAAAATACACAATATTTTGTTTGCTTCAAGTGATCAGGATAATTTTTAGTTTAGGTTTATGCCTAGGCAGGAAATAATAAAATATGTAAGTTTCAAGAAGTTAGAATTAAAGCGCGAGATGAACTGTGAGATATAAAAAAGCTCAAATATCACTTGCGTAATTAACGTTTTAACTTGTTTTCGAACGCGTCCGAAAATAATTGCGAAAAAATTTTTAAAACTGACTACAATTTCCAAGACAACGTTTTTTGTTCATTTTATGAATGACTTCTTCCACACAGAAAGTTTGAAGGAAATCTGTAATCTTAAAAAATTCGAGTGGTCGGTTTTTACACGGACTGCCTCTTAAGACCTAACCAGGAACGACTGCGAAAAATTCCACCAAGTGAAGTGCAATTAAGAATCCAAATCATTGAAATATTTTATTATGCGCTATTTAAACACGTAATCATAAATGAGTGAGAATTATTATTTAATTAATATCATTCAACGACTACAAATTATTATTGAATATCATTCAACATTTACTAAATAAAACTATTGAAGCCAACTACTCTGAAAATTTTCAAATCACAACGGGATAGTACATTCATTGCATATCATTTTCTAACATCGAGTTAATCAGTCAAGCTTGCGGTGGTGGAACTTCTTCAATCACAATACGAGATATCGAGTTCCAACCAGAGTTTGCATTAGCATTTCCAAAACCCTTACAATTTCCCACCCAGAAACCAACACGGACGATGCCGTTGGGAATTTCATTGCAGTATCCTTCAATGTGACGGTGGCGATGAAGATTTCCATGTTGTCCTGCCCCCTTTGACAGGTAAAAAACACCATCAATAGCTAATGGTTTCTTGCACTCGGCTCCATTGAATGTGAAATACCAACGTTTGCAACTAGCGTTACAGTTGTATATACGTAAATTACCTCCATAGAAGACTTTCAGTGAAGAATTTCTGTTGTACTTTTTGAATCGACATTCCTTGAGGGTAAAAATCAACAAAATGTTTTCGAGGGCAATAATTCTGCTATCAAATGTTGAACGAAACAGGTGAGGAAAAGAAAGTTTGTATTTATAAGCTCTGACACATCCATTCCAAATATTTTAAAGTTGTGTTGTTACAAGAATGAACGGACGAGCGCCCTTGCATGCTTTAATTTACTTCATGTATAGTTCACTTCGCATTAATACAAACCTTTATCAATCCGTTTTCTTTGCTATCTTCCCGGTCCCACCACATTGCTTCCAGTTAGAATACACTCCACTGTCCGCTCCTGTCGGTCCAACAGGGCCTGGAGAACCCATTTCTCCTTTTGCACCAGTCATTCCATCTTTTCCAGCCGACCCAGGAATGCCAGGTATTCCTGGTATAGCATGTGATCCAGCACAAACGGCAGAACGCTTTGGCTTAAAGGGAAAGAGAATATCCATGGATTATTTAGTTCAACGGAACTTGTCTGTAAGAGTAATCGTGTTGAGCCATTATCGTATATTTATAATTGTCCCTAAAAATGTCCTACTCATTCCGAAGCATTCGTGTGATCTTTTTTAAATAGCTATACTATAGGTACTCATTATAATTTATCGTATTTAAATTAAGTAAAGCTCAGCAAGCCATTGCCGAGTTGGAAACTCGTAATGAAAGAAGTTTCATTATTTAATGGGATTGAGTTTTCAATTGCAAAATAGATTTAATTAACTGAATCAATCGGGCCTTTCTCACGATGACGAATATCCGCCATTTTTGATTGCCATCTAACTCTCGTCAGGGACGTCGCTATTTAGGGGTGACACCCCGCCCCCAATAATTCAAACGTTGGTCAAAGTTGGTCAAAATGGAACAGATATTTGACCAAAGTTGGTCAAAATGGAACTGATATTTGCTTCAAATTGAAGGTAAAACTCGGAAAAATTTGGTCAAAGTTTGGGATAATAGATGTTCCAAGTTGTTCAAAGTTATGAAATGGTTCCCAATTGTAACTGTTTTAAAGCTTTTGTTATGTTTGCAGCCAAAAAAATGGGAAGATTTGCTTATGTTGGTTGAAAAATTTTGAATTTGGTTACATTTGTCCGGAAAATTTTTTTCGACCATTATTATGTTGTCCGGAAATTTTTTTTGACCTCCCCACCCGTTGACAACATTTTTGGGAAATATGTGTACGACTTGCTCAAAATCCTAGGAAATGTTGATCAAAACATGACGACACCCCACCCAATGTTGATGGCTTCGCGACGTCCCGGCAGGGGCGGCGCTAACCCTCTTCGAGTGGGGGGGGGGGGGGGG